ATTTTTCTTTAATTTAATAAATGATATTACAGTCTGTGAATGGTTAACAGAGCATATAAATTAGCATTTATAAAAATCAATTACATTGTCTCATAAGACAGAGGAGAAGCCAAGACCTTCATCATGGGATCATTTGTATTTATCTGTTAATTATAAACCGTAATTGTCTCTTCTTATCATTTTAATTTGCATAAATTGCATAACTTTGGCATTTAACAGGTTTTGATACTCAGATACCATTATACTTTAAGCATTCTTTCTTGAAATGTTCATTATTAATTACAGCATTAAAATTAGCAGTTCTGATAATTGACCTTGGTTTTTCCTTGCTTTCTCCTCATCTGGCCGTCGAGGTCATTCATCTCATGATTATGCATGCTTTGTCACTTCTTATTGCTTGCGCTCTAAGTTTTAATTGTACTTTATCGCCTGTCACTTTTTACAGTGGGGTTTTTTTCAAAACCGAGAGTGGAAGTCTCTTGGATTTTTGAGGCACTCTCTCAAATAGATTTCAGTCCATACAGAGACTGGTAAGAATTCCTTTAGATACAGCACTTTAAGGCTTCAATTCTGTACCCACAACTGTGAGTCATCCCCATTGAATTCAGTGGGACTTACTTTTGAGTAGACATGTGTGGGATAGGCCTGAATGAATTGACAATAGCCATTTCTCAACTCTTTCAGCCACCTTGAAATCAGATGGTTGGTTTTTTCCCCCAGTTGCATTTCAGAAAGGAAGTGAAATTCACCATTTTGTTTCCCCCCAGAAAGCCATGTTCTGAAGTGCTTTTTGCACTTTGGGAAATTCAAAATGGCTACCACCTCTGAAAATGGTGGCCTTCTGTGATGCTCACTACAGAAGTGGACATCTGGTAAATAACGAGGTCCAATTTTTCTGATTGCTCCACATTGCTTCTGCTTGGGTGACAGGAGGTTAGGGGAGCACTGCCAACTGCCACTATATTCAAATGGAGGAATTTGAAATTAGTGAAATCATACAGTGTGAAACTAGTGGTAGAACAGCATGCAGTAATTGTGGGAACACTTCAATTAAAAAAAAAGGAGCTAAGTATGTGGAACTGGAGTAATAGTATAGCCAGACACAGTGGCTACCTTCCTTCAGCAAAGAGGCTAATTCCTACAACTGAATTTGTTTTCATCATGTTTGTGTCTTTTCTAATCCATGGTAAATATTTTACATGAATCCTTACTTTTGTGGTTTTAAATAGCTTCAAATCTGCCTAAAAGGAGGCAACCGTCAATATAGTATCTTTCAGTTTCCTTTTAAACAAACTTTTTTATAAAAAAAACCATTAGATTTTCTGAGACATTTTCCACTCACATCTGTTGAATTTGATAGTCATGAAGCTTCTGAGCAGTTCTGTATTTTGCACCTAGTCCTGAGCTCCATTTCAAATTAAATCAAGACATTCTTTCTTCTTCTCAGTATCATAAGAATATTCCAGTTTGGGGCTCTGGAAGGTCAAACATGAAACATTGTCATGGAACCAACAAAGGAAGGAAGAGGATCTTAATTTAATACTAAGTGGTGACAGGACCTTTTGTCACTCTGGAGACCCAAACATGCACAATTCCTGTTCCTTTAAATGTCACCATGCAGGAGAAGTTCCCAGTGGACCTGCCCCGAAAAGAACAAAAATTGTTTTTCTTAGACATTAAGGGTGGAATTCAACATCACACTCAGGCAATCATTCCATCAGCACAAGTATTTCTGGGGCCTTCCACTGCCGCTGCACGATTTCTGTTCTCATCCTGAAGCAAAGTTCTTAACCTGAGGTACTATTTCTGGGTTAGCAGAGTCTGTAACCTGAAACGTCTGTAACCCGAGGTACCACGGTATTGTGCTGGCCCAGAATTTATAAATATTTCTCTATCATATTTACTCTAGGCTAACCTCCCCAGATGCTAATCCTTGACGAAGAAAGTTGCGAAATGTTATGGTTTGTTTAAATGTAACTGTCTCTAAATTCATCACTAAGCCGCTTTGTAAAAGCAAAAAAACGAAAACAAAATACCCCTATATCTCCACAATACACATCTCTCTGGTGCGAGAGACAGGATTATGGTAACACAGTACATGTGATACTCACACGGTGACTGAAAATGTGGTCAGCTCAGGAGATGTCTGCAGGAAATGTAGCAGTATCAAACAACACAATTCTACCTGCCAGCTTGGTTGGATATCTTCCAAATGTGGTTTCTAAGGTTACACGTAAGAGGGTTTTCGATTAAGTTTGCCATTATGTTTGTACAGGCTCCATTCAAAAATAAAGATGGAAAGCAAGCCAGAATTTATACTGTGATATAAGGGTGTGTTCACATTGCCACCTAGAGAGCAGTGAAATTGTCCCCCCACCCAGAGCATTTCACAACTCTTTCCACAACTCTTTCTGTTCACATCAGCATAGCTTCATTAGTGTCAGATTCGTTTCTGTTTGTCTGTGCAACCGGAGGTGTTGACAGGGCAAGGAAGTCTTTACCCTGTGCAAAGGTGTTCACACCTTGGTTAGCAATTCAGAATTTTATTGTTTATACCCCATCCATCTGACTGGGTTGCCCCAGCCACTCTGGGCAACTTCCAACATATATAAAAGCATAATTAAACATTAAAAAACTTTCCTACACAGGGCTGCCTTCAGATGTCTACTAAAGGTTGTATAGTTACTTATCTCCCTGGCTGCACAACTCCATGACTGATGAAAATAGGGATGTCCCTACCATACCTTCCAACCAGAGCCATAGCTAGGTGATCTTGCGCTCCTGGCAGAACTGTCCAGATTGCGCCCCTCAGTCACAGACAAATTAGCTCTTTTTCCGCTTCTCCTCCAACCCACACCCCTCCAACCATTCAATTCACCCTCTATTTAAAACCATTTCTTATGAGGCAATAATCAATATTTATAGACATATTTTAGCCAATTTTGTGAGCACCCCCCCAATCGTCTGCGCCCCTGGCAGGGGCCCACCTCACCACCCCCTAGCTATGGCCCTGCCTCCAACATACTTCTGATGAAAATAGGGACATCCTAAGGAAAAGCGGGACATTCCAGAATCAAATCAGAAACCAGAACGGCTTCTGTAGATCCGGGATTGTCCCTGGGAAATAGGGACACTTGGAGTGTCTGTAGTAGTAGTGGCAGAGGGACACACTTTGCAAGTGTCCTTGACCACAAAGATCAGGTGTTTGCAAAAGGCTTGAGCTACAATTCATTTGTTGGCTTGCAGTTGTGTGTCAGTGGTGGATCAACAGAAACAGAGGCCCCCTCATGTGTAAGCAGAAGTGGCTTCTGCTTGCACTAAGCTCTGAATACAAGTTTACAAGAAAATCCAAGAATAAAATGTGAACTCACGTCCAAACGCTCAACAGCTTTCTCATTCCCTCTCCCTGAACATGAAGGCATAGAGGTCAATTGTCAATATCTAAGGCACTGTGAAACTTTTTCTGTAAGGCTCAGATGGTTTGGAGTACTACTTTAGAGCACTTTTTCTTAAACAGCAGTACAATCCCCTGCCAAATGGCCAACTGCTTTTGAATCTGAGAGGACTTTGAATACCAGCATATGATGTGGCAAAACGGTTAGCTCTTCAGAGATGGATTTTTTTTATAAAAAAACCCACCAGACTAATGCAAGTAGCATTAGGTTTCAAACAATTATCTTTGGATCTTCCTCTGCCATAAGCAGAAGTGTATCTATAAGGCAATGGGAAGTTGATCAACTCCATTATTTGTACAGAGCTTGCTCAAGAAGAGTGAATGCCCAAATAAGTTGGTATACATACAGGATCAAAATGGCAGTGAGCTATCTGTTGTCCAGTATTACTTGTGAAGATGCAACATGTCATTGCAAAATGAAGGCTCTTCAGTTCCTCAGGAATTCCCTAGAATAGAAGCCATTCATTTGTTTATTTCGGTTTTGTTCAGATAGCAGACTCGGTATCTGCGGTTTTTAAAGAGCCTCATTCAAGTGTTATTACTTGTCAGTAGTACAGCATAATAAGCATACCAGCTGTCTTTGGAATAAAATCTGTTGGTTGTGGATGCCTACAGTCCTGTGGTGGGGATTTATAAGTAACCAAAATCCAGGGAGATGAATGAAAAAATAAACCATACGGAGACTTGTTTCCTAACACTGGTATCAACATGTCAGATAAGTTTGATCCCATCTCTTTTATGCATGAAAGTGGGTTTCATGTTCACTGTGAAGAGGAAGAATAAAAAAAGTAAATTACTTTCTAGCTGTTTTAGATTACTGGTGAGGGAACTAAAATTTTCTCCCTACTTTTATTTGTCAGTGTAATTATTACAATTGCAACTGCACTCCGCAAATAAAGAACAGGAATACTTATTTTTTACACTTACATTTTTTACCTACCTGAATAACATCTGGACCACATGGTTTCCTTGAATAATTCATATTTATGTGTGAGATATTTCTGTCTGCCTATTTTCATTGCAAACTACTACAGGGACAGAAGAACTGTCAAGGATAAGAATACTGGTAAAGCTATTGTCACTTGAAAGCTTTATCTCATCATACTCGCTGTCATATATTATCCTGAAAATGCTAACTATGACTGCGTACAGATTACCAGCTTAACACCAGCAAAGTTGTTCCCACCCACCCTCTCATTTGAAATCACATTTGCACATCATTGTACACTCCAGCATGGTTGGATGTGTTTTTCAGCTCACCCTCTGACTGTCCACATCAGGAGGTAGAGAGGGGACGGGAAGTCTTCATAGGACTTACATTTTCAAATGCAATTAAATCTGGTTTGGATGAAACCATGTTTGATGCATTATTTGTCAAGAAGCAGCAAGGTAGATGTGAATTGTGCCTAACATAGTGTGCACACATTATGATGATGATGATGATGATGATGTTGATGATGATAACAATAATAACAATTATTATTATTATTATTATTATTATTATTATTATTATTATTCATGCCCTGCCCATCTGGCTGGGTGTGGGAGTCATAAAGCCATGGCAGAGGTTTGTAAATACTGCAGGGTACCTCCGGACCTCGTGACCAGCACTCTGAGCTTTACAAGGTAATGGCCTTATATGGCATGGGTGCAATAAAAGCTTGACCGGATGAGGTAACGTGAGACATTGGAATGCAGCCATGCGGCTGGACAGAACAAAGGATAATAAAAAAGTGATCGGAGAGGAGAAGAGGTCTCAATGAGCTGCTCTCTCTCTTACTATGGAATATTACTCGCTCTCTATGTCTTTATTTTATACTAAAGAAGTGCCACTTGTAAGGCTGGCTCCGACAAGTGGTGCCCCGTGTGAGGCTGAATAAAAGAATACGACTGAGGTTTTTAAAAGAGAGCTAAGAAGCGATTTAAAGCAAACAGTCTGAGGCAGACTAAGAGGATTCTAACAGAAACTGTGAGAGGATTTTTGATCCAAGCAGTGAATATCATCGGCTCACTACGTCCGGCAAGGATTGCAAAGCGCTTTACATCTTTAAAAAAAGATCCCGGTGAGTCCGATCCCTTTTCTCCTTCTTTTATATTGATTTTAGAAACATGGGCAGCTCTTTGACTACTCTCCAACAGAAATTTTTAAGAGACTTAAAATTTCTCCTCTCCTCCAACAAATGGGAAGTTCCTGATGGTGATTTGATACAGCTTATTCTGTGTATTGATGAACATTGTCCTTGGTTTCCTTTGAAAGGAACATGTGAATTAAAACATTGGGACAAGATTGGTGAACATTTTCATGGGCTCCCCAGCAGTAGTGCTCAGATTTTAAATGCTTGGTGCAAGGTTCGATATGCTATGGGTTCTTTATCACCAAAAAATATCTCCATGGCTGTATTGCCAACACAACCTTCAGCTTCTTTAATTCAGCCTGCTGTCCTGCCATGTGTTCCAGCACTTGTTTTGCCTGCAGCCCCAGATCCCAAACCTCCAGACTACAGTTCCTCACCAGAGGACCCAATCCTGCAAAAATACAGTGGTCTGGCTGGAAATGACCCTGCTCTTTCAGCAGCAGAAGCAGCTACCCCTTTTCAACGTGCAGCCCTTGCCTGCTCCTTATCTCAGGATACCATGGCATTCCCTGGTGCTCCAGCAGGAACTCAAGCCCAGCACCAACCTTTTGACTTTAAAATCTTGAAAGAGCTGCAATTGTCAGTAAGGACAAATGGACTGCAAGCTCCATTTAAACAAGCAAGAGGGAATAATCCTAATCTTACCCTCGCAGATGTGATGGATGCTATGATGGGGCATGGCCCCCTTGCTCAGGCTTCAGTACAAGCCACACTGCTGCAGATCTTATTGAGGATACTGCTCTTGCTGCTCAACAAGCAATGAGAAAAATCCCGGAACCCACCAGTATCCAGTCTAGGTGGGGTTCAATCAGACAAGAACGGTGGCCTCCACCAAAAGAAAAATCCGCAGCACCAGCTTGTTTCTGAACAGCTTATTTCTGAACAATTGACTTTTGGCCACATTGAACCATCTTCATCCCACTGGCACCAGCAGACAGGAACGGTTTGCTTTTATATTGCCAGTATATAACAATCTCAACCCACCCAGCAATGTCAGTGGATTGTCCTGCCTCACAGCATGTGGAACTCCCCTACACTTTGTCAGCATTTTGTGGATGAAGCATCGAAACCTTTCCGCATGCGCCACCTAGAGGTGCTGAACACCAGCTGCATCTGGCAGTATTTGCTACACCATTGTTGCCAACAGGAATTTTATATGCTCAGACATTGTTATCAAAGGACGTTCACATGCTATGGCTTTGAGCGGTTTTGATGTTGCATCAATTTATTTGCCTTTTTCACAGACTGAACAGCAGCATTTATTGATCACAAATACTGCCGTGCAAATTGCTTTGGCAGATTTTATAGGTGTCACCATTTTTAACCCCCCAAAGGATGACTGTTTGACATTTTTGACACAGGTCACCTATGTTTTGGCTATCCCCTTGTCTCTCACACCTCTCCCCTCTGCACTAACCCTCTTCACGGATGGAATGAAAAGTAGGGGGGGGTGACATGGGAGGAGGGAGGAAAATGGAAATGTTTATTTACCCCTCCACAGTCTTCTGCCCAGCGAGCGGAGCTAGCGGCTGTGATTCTTGCCTTTCAATCCTTTCCTACTCAAACCTTCAATCTTATTGTGGATACTCAGTATGTATATCGCCTTTTTGCTATTTTACCAATATCTTATATAACTCCTTCCTTGGATTCTGACTTATTTTCCTTGTTTCTTGCCCTGCAGGCTTTACTTCAGCACAGAGAGTTCCCTTATTATGTTGCACATCTTCGCTCCCACACATCGCACCCAGGGTATTTAGCAGAAGGCAATGCACGAGCAGATGCAGCATTGAGGGACATTTCTGCCTTTTCTCTCTTTTCTGATCCTGTACTATGTCATAACACCTTTCATCTCCCTGCGAAAGCATTGGCTAAGCAGTTTTCTATTCCTTTGGCCCAAGCTAAGGATATTGTGTCCCAAGGTGCTTCCTGTTCCCAAGGATGCCGTGCGGCCATGGCGAGCATCTTCAACCACGGAAGCGCCTTCCTAACCATTTGCCTTGCCATCTCTTGCTGCACTGTTATACAAGGAAGAGAAGCAGACGATCCAGTCCAGTTGAAACCACCATATTTCACCTTATCGGCTGGCAAGCAGCTGTCGCCTGAATCCTACTCTGGCTGGCAGTATCCACGGCTCAGCCACTCTCGAACTAGAAGAACAGTGTTGTTGAATAAGACTTTTAGGGGAGAAAATTATCATAAGATATAGAGGGATAATATTTTTGTACAAGATATGATTAAGTTTACTAGTTTATTGCATGCTTCTAAATGTTGGTTATGTATGCACATGCCACCCTTTGCCAGTCATTCAGGCATAATGCTTCATGGCGTGCCTGTCAATGGATCTTTTCAGTTTACTAATATTATATCCCCTAAGCAAACTTTTTGGTCTCCAGTACAATTGACCCTCCATGAGCCTGCCCCCATTTGTTTTCGAATTAAAGAGGGGAAAGAATCATGGGGCATATATCCAAACTGTCAATATACTTTGAAATTCATGTTTAATAGCTCTTGTTCTCTTACAGCGATACCAGTGCATGGTTATAAACCAGAAAGGAAGCCTACCATGCAGCTTGGAATCAGAATTCTTATATTCTTGGCTTCCGGATGGAAGTTGGCTTTGACATTTATTGATTTTAGTGATTATTATAGTAGTTATTTGCATTATTTTGTGTTGCTATATACAATGTATTCCTTCCTTAATTTCTGTATGTACTGCATGGTTCTCCAGTCCGCGGCCCGCTTCCGGTCTCACAAGAGTCGCCTATCGCTCTCGACATAACCATTGGTACTGATATATATGGCTCTTATTAAAATATAAAGAAAGAGGGCATGTGGGAGTCATAAAGCCATGGCAGAGGTTTGTAAATACTGCAGGGTACCTCCGGACCTCGTGACCAGCACTCTGAGCTTTACAAGGTAATGGCCTTATATGGCATGGGTGCAATAAAAGCTTGACCGGATGAGGTAACGTGAGACATTGGAATGCAGCCATGCGGCTGGACAGAACAAAGGATAATAAAAAAGTGATCGGAGAGGAGAAGAGGTCTCAATGAGCTGCTCTCTCTCTTACTATGGAATATTACTCGCTCTCTATGTCTTTATTTTATACTAAAGAAGTGCCACTTGTAAGGCTGGCTCCGACAGCTGGGTTTCCCCAGCCACTCTGGGCAACTCCCAACAGAATAATAAGAACACGATAAAACATCAAACGTTAAAAACTTCCCTAAACAGGGCTGCCTACAGGTGTCTTCTAAAAGTCAGGTAGTTGTTTATTTCCTTGACATCAGATGGGAGGGCACCACTACTGAGAAGGCCATAATCACAAATCAGTGGTGGGAGTACCCTGGATGAATGAAAATGAGTCTTGAATGAGTCTTGCTTTAGAATTGAGGACTTCATTAGATTTTCTTCTGCCTTTTCATTTTATTTTGTTCTAAGGGCTTGTTAGAGATAATGTGTAAGCGTGGTGGCAGCTCCCTAAAAAAAGTCAACAACTCTGGGGAACTTTTCCTTAAAAAGGTCAACAACTTTGGGGTCCCCCCCTTAAAAAAGGTTGACAACTCTGGGAAACGGGGGGGTGGGGTGCCGGAGGGATCTTTGTACCAAGGCGCTGGATATGCTTAAGATGGCCCTGCGAGTGAGATAATATCAGTTTGCCTACTAGATGTATTTTGTGCTTGCCTATGCAAACATGAGCATATGATTACTGTAAATGCTGCTTTTATAGATTTAGATTTCCTTTTTAATTATTCTTATACTGGGTTGTATCCAAAGTTGAGCGAATGGCCTTGAACAGCTGTGGTTCCAACTCATCAACTGCTTTTTTGATACTATGATATTTACTGCACAAATTCTAAGTTATTGCAATAATAATGGATTTAGTCTGTCTTTAATTCATAAATGTCCCCACTGCCCTTAATTTCTGGACTCACATCAAAGTACTGGTTTTGACCTATAAAGTATTATGCAGATCAGGATCCCAGTACCTTAAGGACTGCCTCTGCCCTCATGAACCAACTGAGTCCATGCATTCATCATTTGAGGATCTTCTCTGTGTGCCCTCTGGAGGTGTGGAGAGTGGCTGGGCCTTTTCTGTAGTGGCTCCCTGCTCAGGAATGCTCTCCCCAGGCAGGCACACCTGGCACAATCACTAGCTACTTTTAGACATGGGGTGGGGGGGCATTTTTCCTCACTCAGGCTTTTGGCCTTTAACTTGGGGAGTTTTAAATATTGTGGCTTCTTTTAGTGGGAAGGGTCTTTGAAAACACTTTAGAATGTACACTAGTGTTTTTTGTTTTTATTTTGCTTTAGCTTCAGATTGGTTTTATTTTTGGTATTATATTCCAAGTTGCTTTGAGTTTACTTTTTGGGGAAAAGTAACTAATAAGTCAAATAAATAAATAAAAATATAATAATAATAGTCTGATGTAACAGCTGTTGCCAAAGCAGAGTCCCAAGATCCTTATGTATCTATAACAAGGGAGATTAAGAACATGAATATCTCAGAAAAGTCTACATGGAGCAGCATTTCTGGGGGTGAGATGCAAGGCAGTGTGTAGAGGGGATCAGCAAAAAATAGGTGGCCCCACATTCTGTGAGCAGATCATTCTGCTAGTGCCAAACCACTGTTGGTTACAATCCAATATTTTAAGGGATTTTACTATCATTCAGCTATTCTCAGAGAATACCAAACAACCAGCTTAAAAACGATTCCCTCTTCCCTGAAAATGTATTTAGCCTTGCTTTCCATTTTCTATAGTATCAAAAATGAAATTCTGTTTATGAAGTAGATTTTAAAAAATGTATTCTGGAAATCACATCTCTCTCTCTCTCTCTCTTTTAAAAAAGCATCCATCATTCTGTTCTGTTGCCATGTAGAATGACACATCTAAATGATACGAAATGTATAATAAATACAATCTAAGCTGCAGTCAATATCATCTTTCTCCCGTACATTAAATGATTTCACTCTCAAACTCTATTAGGCCAACCTCATCAGGGTTCAGTACTATTCATTACTTCTTTAATAATTTATACTTTAACAGGCTGCTCCCTCACATGTTACTTTTCACAAAGAAAGCAATTAGGAAAGGGATATTTATGTGTGCTTCTAACATTTCAAAAAGTAACACAAAAGGCAGTTAAATCAACAAAAAACATAGAGAATTGCCAAATTCTCAGGGAGGAGGAATCGATACGCTGGCTTTCAAAATGCTGCATTCATGGGCATACCCAGAAACACAAATACATAATAACGGAAGGAAGCTTCACTTTTTCAGTCTGTCATGGGGAAACTTTGGGGCGTAGGAGCTCATCATGGCACAGGAAGGCACAGAAATATCCTGATAAATAAAGTGAAACCGAAGTCAGTCACATAACTTTTACTCAGAGTAGACCCACTGAAATGAATTGCCATAACTCCAATAACTTCAAGGGATCTGCTCTGAGTAAATGTTTGTTGAATATTACCCATACACAATATCAATATGACTTTGATGTTACACTATTGACAAAAGGTACTTTAAGCATTAATTATTTGCAGCTTGAAAAGAAATCCTGTTGATTGTATGATTAGTAGACAAGTGATGTGGCTTTGGTCATCTTTAATTTCAGTCTGCAGCATTCAAAGGACCAAAGGAGGCGATATGCTAAATGTGTAATCATAGCTGCTCTGCCTATTTCTCCTCTTTAAAATAAGTACCCGTGGAAGGGGGGAACTGAGCAGGATTGTGACTGTGGCAAATAGGCAGTCCCACTGGCAGCCCCCGTGGCAGTCCCAGTACCTTGCTTCCCCCAGAATTATCGCTAGAGAAAAGCTGCCACTAGATCATTATATTGGGATTCTTTTAAAATTAACTTTTCTTCTGTTTGCCCCATTTCATATTGGGCAAGGGGGACACGACTGCCATCTGAAACAATATTACATTGCAACTTAACACTATTTTGTACAACAATTTGGCGATATGGTGCCTCAAACAACAGAGTTTAGAATCTGGGAACATCAGTGGCAACAGGAAAAATATTTCAGTGTAACTTACACATAAGTATTCCCCAAGAAGTATATAGGGGTATCTACTTCTGCCGATGGTATGACAAACCCATCGGTTAGAACACGAGCGATGTAGCCGTCCTTTTGTTTCAACTTCAGTCACTACAGCATTCAGATCATTCAAACTCAACCGCAAATTAATATTCAGCTTTCCCTTTTGCTGCACCAGATTTTAACCGTAGGCACAAGGTTTCTGTTAAGCAACTGAATTTTATGCTTTCCCCTTTCCTTCAGGGGCTTTTTCTAGGTGGAAGGTTGCTCTTTGGAGGTCAAAGTGATTAACTTTGTCAAGGGTGCCTTTTCTGGAGTGAAAGCAAAAGCAGTTACAAGTTAACAGGTTTTAACAGGAGGTGATATGCCTGCCTGACATTTTGTGACCTTTGTTATCTAACATGGAGTCTGAATAGAGCTGATCTAATTAGTCAGGAAAAGTAGAAAATGGATGCAGCTTTCTGTCTGGCACGGCTGACTGTTAGCCCTAGTTTTTAAATGGGTAGGTCAAGAAATCATTTTCCAACATCCAAGATGCCGTAGTAGCAGCCAGTGTGGTTAAAGCATTGGAGAAGGAACCAGGAGACCAGGGTTCAAATCTCCATTCAGCCATGAAGTGACCTTGAACCAGTCGCCATTTATCAACTACCTCACAGGGATGTTGTGTATGCCACTAAACGTGTCTTAGAAGAAAGTTGAATTATAGATATAATAATAAATAAAATACAGTGTTACTTTGGGTTACATACGCTTCAGGTTACAGATGCTTCAGGTTACAGACTCTGCTAACCCAGAAATATTACCTCTGGCTAAGAACTTTGCTTCAGGATGAGAACAGAAATTGTGCAACAGTGGCGCGGCGGCAGCAGGAGGCCCCATTAGCTAAAGTGGTGCTTCAGGTTAAGAACAGTTTCAGGTTAAGAACGGACCTCCGGAACAAATTAAGTTCTTAACCCGAGGTACCACTGTACAACAATAGTCGCCAACACTTCTAATTTCTCTCCAGCAGTTTGTTTTTGAAATGTCTGAGTAAAATCAATCGATGCCCCCAAAATATGGGGGTGGGATTGTTTTCACAGACTGGACTTACACTTTTCTACATTCTCCACCCCATAATACTTCTCATTTCAACTGTTCAAAATGTGTCACATTTTTCCCATGTCAGATGTTTTTCCTGTGCTCGTAATTTATTGTTTTTGTTTCATGGAGATTCCCTCTTAGTGGACAAAAGAAGGGCACAGAAGTTCACAGAGACTCCCAGCTTCTCAGGAAAACTCCGGGTCCTGGATATGATGCTTTTCAAACTTGGCTGCGAGCCCGAATAACAGAGAGGCAGCCAAATACATCGACACAGGACGTTTCGTGCTAAGTTAAAATACTAGCTTGTACAATAATTTCACAAGATCTAAGGAAAGTCCATTTCAGATTTTCTCCCGCTGCCGCCCGTTTGAGTTCATTGTTATAGAAAATGTCAATGTGGTTAGTCATCTTAAGATATTCATGCTTAGAAATGTATAAGAATATCTACATTCTTACTGGTGGTATAATAAACTCATTGGTTAGCAGCCAAAGGGTGCCACCTTCATTTTGTGTCAACTTCAACCTGTAGTGTCCAACTCTTAACTCCACAAATACTAATATTCAGCTCTCTCTTTGGCTTCACAAAAGGAACAATATTTTATTCATATACGAGAACAATGATGCAGAAAACTGTACAACAGTGAAATTCTCTACATGCCCAGAGGTAAGTCCCATTGACTTCAGTTGGACTTACTCTCTCCAGTAAGAATTGCCAAGCATCAAAATGCCCACCGGTTGCCTTATTCTGAAATTATTCTGAAATTTATCAGCAGTTATCAAAGATTATTGAAAGATATATTCAAATAAACCCTCAGTCACCCCTTCTAAACATGTGGACAGATACTATGAAGACCTTTTGCCCAAAAAAAACTTCTGACATGGATGGATCTGTATAACATAACAATGGAAATAATTTAAAATCTGACTACATCCTTATAACACAAGAATTTAGAATGTAGTTA